CAGTGACGTGCTGGCCCCACAAGGGATGTCCCGATGGGGCTGGCTGGGCCCTGAGCCCTCCCAGGGGCCACCCTCCCAGAATCCCGACCTCAATCTCCCTGTCTGGGGTCACCCAGGGAGACCCCACCTCTGCAATCTTCTTCCATCCCACAGAGTTGTGGTCCAACAACCAGTTCAGAACGTTCAGGTTGTGAGTGTCCAGCCTGAGGCTGGGAGCTCCCCATCTATTGTCAGAGAACCAGTGGACTCAAGAGAAAATACATGCCATATATTCTGGAGGAGGACCAGGGAGACAGGGAGGAAGATTCAGGTAGGAGGAGCATCTGCTCCCTCTCCCGCATACGCACACCACCCTGGGAGCCAGGTCATACCAGCAATGCCAGAGTGGTACTCCTTAGTGATCACTGTATTCCTGAAGGACGGGGTTGTCCTGGAAGGACAACACTAGCTTGCAGCGGGACTGGGGAGGGCTAGTTCCCGTACCTGTCAGGACCAACCAGGAGGATGGACAAGGTGAATGTGCAAGCTCTCAGTTCCTCAGCTTGCCTGCCAAGCAGGCATCAGGATCTTGCATTTTTCCTTTCCAAAGGCTCAAACCCAATGCAAGCACGTGGGTTATAGGAACCCCCTCCCCCACATGCCTGCCTAGCGCCCCCACCCACCTGCCTTCAGGCTCCCTCCTGGCCCTTCAGGTCCATCCTGTTTTTCTGTCTTTGTTTACATCTGCTGGGACCCCTTCCTCTGGGGGGTGCAGTTAGGAGTCCCTGGTGGCCTTCAGGTGCTGTGTTCACAGAGTCACCAGTGCAGATCATCTGGAATCAGCACTTGTGCACCTGGACCTGCCATGGATGCAGGGAGCAGCTCAGGCCTGCCCCGGCCCCCATGTGCACCCAGAAAGCCCACAGCTGCTAGGCCCAACCTGTCCCAGCCACGGAGCCCCCACTGTCCACTTCCGTGTTCTGAATGTGCCACTTGGACAGAGCCAGACGCAGTGGTAGAGACCAGCCCTTGGCACAGCCACAGGAGGCTCATTTCAGCTGTTCCTCTGCGGGTGAGCGCCCTGCTGGTGCTGGAGTGCTCCCAGAGCTCGTGGAGCCAGTACTGTGCTGGATGAGAGATGTAGAGACTAATGGGCACCCACTCTGCCCCTCACACACCCCTTAACTTCGGGTCTTTGCTTCTACAATGGCCGGGGCATCTTCCATGCCACCCCAGTTGTGTGGCTGTGCCAGAATTCAGCCCTTCAGGCTCTTCTTGTAGCCAACCACAGTCCTCTCCTTGGGTCTGCCCTCTCAAACCAGCAGGTACACGTCTCAGGCTGGAGACAGTAGCACAGAGCCGCTTTCCTGGGATCTCTGCTCTGCCTGCTACGTGCTCTTCTGAGTCTCTGAAGACCCCCTCTCTGTCCCAGCTGGTCTCCCCTTTAGAGAAGGCCTATCCAGGGGGCCAGAACCTGTCCTCTATCAGAGCTTCTTCCTAGGCTGCCGGGCCTGTACTTCTCCCCTTTTTATCCCCCCTTTCATCCTACTGTGTCACATGGAGATCTTTCTACTGCTCTTTGGTGCCTGAGATTTCCCACCAGGAAGTATTGTGAGAACTTTTCCATGTGCAGATGTATTTGTGGGAGGAGGTGAGTTCCATGTCCTTCTGCCATCTGAATTCAAAGTCTCGTACTTGTCTACACAGAGGTATGATATGATCCTGCTCTTGTTCCAATACCAAGTGGGCTGTCTTCAGTGGCATCCTTGTTTCTTCAACCCGTTTGCAATGTAAGACAGTGGAGACCAGCCACACCAGCTCACTGTGCACTGGAAATATGCTTGGTGTGAAAGATGGGCTCAACCATCAATCATAGTTAACGTTAACTTTAAAAAAAGCCCTATACTTAAAATAACTTGGGTATGTAAATCTACTTTTTTTTTCCATTTATTTTTATTAGTTGGAGGCTAATTACTTTACATCATTGCAGTGGTTTTTGTCATACATTGAAATGAATTAGCCATGGATTTACATGTATTCCCCATCCCGGTCCCCCCTCCCACCTCCCTCTCCACCCGATCCCTCTGGGTCTTCCCAGTGCACCAGGCCCGAGCACTTGTCTCATGCACCCAACCTGGGCTGGTGATCTGTTTCACCCTAGATAATATACATGTTTCGATGCTGTTCTCTTGAAACATCCCACCCTCGCCTTCTCCCAGAGTCCACAAGTCTGTTCTATACATCTGTAAATCTACTTTTTGAACTGTTAAGTGGTGTGAAATCTGAAATATTTTTTTAAAAATTTAAAATATATTACTTACTAATGAAATAACACTTTGGATATGTGTAGAAACTAAAATCTAAGAGCATTTTTATTGTGGCTACTAGAAACTTTAAAATTACATATGTGGTCAACATTATACTTCTACTAAATCTTGAGTCAGACCAAACAACAGGACAAAAAAGACTTCCTTTCTTATGAGAAATAATTTTATAACCTAATCGACCTAACAAGTTGATTTACTTTATCTTTTTCTTGCATCTTCATATGTAATGTCCTCTGATCCTCCAAGTCACTGTTCAGCAGCCGTGCAGGCCTTGGAGTTTTTAAGGAGTATTTCTTGGCAGCTCTTGAAGAAACACTCACTGAAAGGTTAATCAAGTCAGTCAGACTTGCATGGTGCTTAAACAAATCCATTTCTTCCCTGAAGACTAAACAGATGCATAGACTCTACCCAGAGGCTTTTATGCCATTATCATGTTCACTTTTCTTCAAGGGTATAAGAAGCAGGCCCATACTCTGTATACTGTGCAATCAACATTTTGTGTCAACTCATGAAACTCCTCTGTACTTTCAGGACCTTACTGTTACTAAATTTATTCACATTAACATTTATCCCACTTGTGGTTCATGAGAAGACAGTCAGTTCTATAGGTAGGCTTGTTTGCTTAGGTACAAAAGTAGGAACTAAAAAGGACACACATTGTGAGATAGTCTGTTAAAGATGCAAGTGCCAACTGGGTGTGTTTTAAAGAGCTTTATAGATTGATGTTTCTAGGAGACCATCAGCGTGTCATCCACGTGTGCTGAGAGACTTAACAGTGCCCACATGGTAAGAGACGGGTCACGGGAAAGTCACCACAGTTCAGGGCCTAGAGCACAGGTGAGGTCGCACGTATGGAGCCTCACTTCACAACTGTGACACTGAGTGGTGATTTGCAGGACTAACTCCACGTGGCTCCAGGTCAGAGCTGGGAGGACATCCCACATAACTAAGCGACGCCTGAGCCTTACGGCAATGCTGACAACTCCTGTGATGTGGAAGTCCTAATGTGTTTAATGCACATGCTCCACCTAAACTGCTTTCGGGAATTAAACTGCAGAGATTACACAACTGGAGAACAGACTGGAGCCAATTACAGCTCCCTCTAGGAAAACACCTCAGCAGTTGCATGGAGGCAAATTCAGTGTCTGAGGAGCACACTGATGGGCGGTGACATCGGGGCAGGGCTGAACCTCTGTGACAGCACTGGTCTTGAGTATACTAATACCTGTGTATATTAAACACACTCGTATGTCAGTAGTCATTGGTAAGACGATGGTCTCCACTTATGTTTTTGTACCTACAACCCGACAGGAAGTGTATTAGAACCATATCTGGAACAAAAGCAGGAGAGATGTGGGTTTCTGTGGTATTAATGACTCTGGCCGGTCCGTGCCTGTGGTAATAACTGCTAGTGTTCTGAACATAGCTCTGCTCAGGGGTCTATGTCTCACCTTGATAGAAAATGGCTACCTTCCAGAAATTACTTCCACAGGAAAAAATTCTACTAGAAAATATTTTGCCTGGAAATTACTTAAAATGTGATCCAACTTAATGAATACCCTATAAACTATACAGAAAATATGTCACAATAAAGGATCACTCAATTCTAAGTAAAGTTCAAAAGTACATTAATTTAAAATGTGGGGAAAATTTCGATATAAAAGAAAACAGTATAAGAAAAATAAAAGTACAAAACGTTTCAAATCTTCAACATCCATAATTTAGAGATAGCAAGGTCTTTATTTGCATCATTTTATTTTCAGCTAAAGTTCCATTAACAGTGTTGTGAAAACATTTAAAAACCTGACAAATGAATCATAAAACCAATGTGCGCTCTTAAAAGTCATATAATACAAAATATGATTTATGTTTCCTCAGAATAATATTCCACATCTTAATAAGATGCAACATATTTAATATATTTGTCTTCCTGCATAAAAACGCTTGTGTCAAAGAAAGCAGCTGAAAAACAAGGGCATCTGAGGGAGTAGGGCCGACACTGCCCACACTGCTCCTGGCACCAGCCCAGGTGCATCAGTTAAATTTATATGTAGGCGTGTTGAGGAAAGCAAGTTCCCACAGCAGTGTGGAACAGTGTCAACACCCAGCAAGGTCCCCGAGTTCAGATTAAGAGCCCCAGGTGCCCGAAGCCGCACCACAGAAATCCAGCCCCTCCCACATGCCAGGCCCTGCAGCACAGGCCACCACCTGCGGCAGAATGATGTGACTGCTCTCAGGCTGCAGACGTGAGGAGAGGCCCAAGAGGTCACCCACAGATTGCTCAGGTAAGCTTTACACCAAGTCTTCCTTCCACAAGGAAAAGCAGTGCAGAACAGGCATTCAGATCTAAACATGTAGGGTGGGAAAGAGCCTGGAAAGATGTAAGAGCACCTACTCTAGAAGAACAGTCTACAAAATTCAATGGGCCTCTCAGCGGTTCTATCACTAACCCTGGCCAATAGTGCCCTAACCTGTGGGCTCACAGAGCACACGCAGCTCTGACACTAAAGATGAGAGGGGCCCACCCACCGCCTTCTGAAAGGATATGACTCATAGTCCAGTGTCTGAGTGAGCACACCAGTGAGAACAAACTCTGCATTGTGAACATCTGCAAGGAACATAGATAAAACCTGTCAAATAGACGCACCTGCCCATACCCATGCATGCCAACACACAGCAGAGAAATGAACATACCTATTCCTCTGGCAGAATACTCTTGACACAAGTGAAGGTCATTTTCACAGGCTATTAAAATTATTTCTGACAAACTCTAAGGAAAAGAAAAGCAGATTCTTGGTTACTGAGCCTCATACATGACATTGATGCATTCAACAGTGTTTCACTTCTGTGCACCTTATCCTGTTTATGTTCCATGAGTTTCCTGATAGACAGTTGTTTAGACAACACTTTGCCTCCTGCACATTTCACAATCGCTTTCATGGCTGACAGACTTGGGCAGATCCCAGGAGTGATGTAAAAGTATTTCGCCTAAAAGTGAAAATACATGTACTGGTTTCAAACTGAATCTTCAGTGTGCGTAATTTCTCATTCTACCCAAGAATTTTGACAAAATGACTAATTTCATGGAGCTACACGGTACCAGACCCCCCCTAGTCCCCAACCTCAAGTGGGCCTGGTGGAACGCAGACAAGGAATTTCAGAAATAAGCACTCTCATAAGCTAGGTGTGACCTATAATTATTAAAAAGTGGCTAGAACTTTAATTCCTGTAAGACATGAAGTATTCTGTGGTAAGAGAACTCTTTGAACCCGGGTTATTTGTAATGCATCTCTCTCCATATCGATTCTCTTAGACACGGAACACACCCTAGAGGAGGCCTGACTGCACACGGGGAGTGGAGAGAGCCCAGCTCTCTGGGTGCAAGCCGCCCGCTCCGTCATGGTTGCCCAGCTGCAGCAGCTGATCTGAGCTCCAGTCCAGGCATACCTTGAAAAGCAGAGAAACGTGGGCCCTCCTCAAGGACTCCTCCAAACTGAAGGAGAAAAGCACTTCGGCCTCTGCATCTCGGAGAAGGTAGTTCTGTTCGTCTGAAAGGGAAGACAGTACAGCCTCAGAAAGTGCCTGGCACTGGGGTACACCACATGTGACTGGCTTCAGGTGCCCCAGTGAGCCATGTGCTGGCGTCCACCTGTGAAACTTGTGAATGAGTAAGTCTCCCAGATTATATTTCATTTATTTTCCTCCCCAAAACAGCCAGCCAAGCCAAAGACACTCTTCCTCCCTCCTGGATCAGTGTTTCTTAGCTTTTAGAAACAAATGTCCTGAAAGCCATCCATGGACCCTCCTCTCATTCCTGGGCAGCTCCCCACCTCCCCCTCAGCTGTAACTTCACACTGTTGGGGGGCCAGAGCACCCCAACCCAGACCCAGGTGAAGAGTGCCCATGTGGAGGGACAGGCTGAGAACCAAGTTCATGGCCAGCTTGTGCTCACAAGGACCAGTGACTTCAGAGCCACTGGACTCCAACTGAGAGTCGATTAGCCAGATTTTACAGATGTACCAAAAATAAGTTCCTTTTATGCACGTATAAATACATCAATTTATAAAGAATGGTTTTACCAGATTTTGAGGATCTAAGAATTTTTAAATAATACCCAATTTTTCAAAAAGTAAAGATCACAAAATATTTTCATCTTCTTATGAATACATCTCATTCAGAAAAGCATTTCACCACCATAACCAAACTAACAGTCCAGGGTCAGGCTGGGTCAGAGGACAAGCTGTAGGGCTGACAGGCCACACGGTGGGTCTTTCATTTGCCCTTCTCATTTTTAACAATGTCTTAAAAACGAGAAAACCATTCTCAGCTCAGAGAGCATAGTTGCTGTCTCCATCAGGTCACTCAGGGGACACTGAGATTTAACAACTGCCAGAAATGCAAGTCCATCAGCCACCAGCAGAAAAAGAAGGCACTACACTAGGTGAAAGAAGAGAACAATGTCTAAAAAATGAAGTTAAGAAATGAACAAAGAAGTATTGTCATGCGTGAAGGTACATACTTGAATGAAGTGATGTATCTGAAATGCTAGTTTCTACAGCAGAATGAAGGTTGCTGTGCCTGCTGAAGAGCTGTGAGGGATGACAGGAAGCAGTCTGTGTTTAAGGTGGGAGATGACACTGAAATGAACACAGTAGCTACAACAACCCTGGGTTTCTAAGAGGAGAAGCTGAGTTATATTAACTTGGTCGGAGTTGTGGCAAGAGTCAAACTTTCCAGAGCAGTGTAAAGGGCATGTGTATTCCAGAAAGAAATAACCTATACAATTGGTGTCTCAAACTATATAGATATAAATACAAAATGTCAAAATACCCCTCCCCCATGATAGGAAGCATCCAGTCTTAAAGCTGTCAGAGCCCAGGCGGGGGCGGTGTGCTGCAGGGGTGGGAGGGCAGAGGTGGCCAATGGTGGCTGACTACATGGGACTCCTCCAGGAATGTATCATCCTGTATGTATCATCAGGGAAACAAGGCAGGGCTACAGAGCTCTTCCCCAGTACTTCCCCAATTACCACAACCTTCCTATCTCACAGTAAAATGCAAAGATATCAAATGCCTCCCTGGAACATGAAATAATTTGTTCTTTATGCATTTAAATTCACAGAGTTAAAAAATGAACTTGATGTGTGCTGGGATGAAAATGGAGACAAATTTCAAGGCAAAAACCCTCCTAACTGGGCATCCAGTGCACAAGGTGTGGCTCGGCCACTTACCAATGAACTTCTGGCACTTGAAGCACTCCTCCAGCCACTCTGGGGTGACGATGTGCTTCACCTTGGAAACGGCCATCAGGAACTTGACGGTCCGCTTCACCTTGCTGGCGATGAGGTGGGTGCACTTCTGTGCAGACTCGGCCACCTCCCCACCCAGGATGTGGAGCTTCTGGGGGCCAGGAACACAGAGCAGAGGTGAGACCATCTGGTCTGCAGAGCCGCCCGCCCGCCCGCAGCCCGGGACTTGTCTAGACCATGAATGGGGCTCTTGGTCACACAAAATGGTGAAAGCGGTGAAGCCAGACCTACACCACTGTGTGAGCAAAGTGGAAACTGGAAGTGACAATGTACATTTCCCTAATCAGGGTAAATAAATACAAATACCTGTGATCCCTGGGCCTGCCCCACCAGAGAGAACAAGTCTTGAGAAGATGGTGGGTTCATTCAGGAAACCTGAAGGGGCAGAGCTACTCTCGTAAGCTAATGTCCTTATGAACATGTTTTTTGTGCAGCTTTGCTAATGTTTGATTACAAGACTACTTTTGGTCTCCTCACCTGAGTCATCCTAACAAGAAAGAACGCTTCTAAGGAGGAAGTAGCAGCAAGAATGAGATGGGAAAGCAATGATGTGATGATGACGCAGTTTATAAATAAACACGATGAACAATGTTACAACATGATATTCCTGATTACATGTTAACCTAATAAAACTGCTATCCTAAAGCAAATATAAAGGAACATTCATAAAAATCTTTATGGAAAATAGAAGGAAATTTCACCTTTATGTACTCTTGAACTTGAACAGACTCAAATCCAGTGAAAAGCACAAAAGGGGTCAGTGCCGGTGGTAACTTCTTGGAGGGAGGTGGAATATCTTTGATTCTATGAAACACACATAGAAGAGAACGGCTATTACTTCCCTAATATGTTCCTTACCAAACAAGACATTTTAATTTTAACAGTGTTAAGAAGCTCTGAGAGCTTTACCTGTGTGTGGTTTTCTGTTCTTAAAGGGAAAGTGCAGTGACTCACCTGCTCTTTCTTTCCCACCATTTATACAAAGTCACCCCAAAGGACTCTCACCTGGCACCCCTAGGGGAAGGGCTGATCAGGCACCATCCCCCACCCCCCAGCCTGCACTGTCCCTGGGGGTCTGTGAGGGTGGAAGGGAGGGCTTCCAGGGCCCTCTGTGGTCCCCAGTCCCCCACCGTATCCCACAGGACCCATCTCACCCCAGAAGCTCTGACTCAGAGCAAAGCTGGTCAACTCAAGCACACACTCTATATTAAACTTCTTTGCTTAAATTTCTTCAAGCCCTATTTTTAGCTTATATTTGAGACAGTCTATGAAATAAAGAAATCTGTAGTGTTTTAATGATGTATATAATCACATAATTAGGCTTTTGCTAAAGAATCCAACAATCCCCGGATTGGGTGGCTGTGGGGACTAGAAGGAGGGGACTGAGGAACAGGGAAGAGACAAAGACCCTCACTCAATGCAGCTCAGAAGGTCTCTTGGTTCTAATTAAACCACTGGCTTACCTTCACCAGGTGAGAACAGAACAAGTCTGACAACACCCCTACCTCAGCCCCACAGAGGGGGCTCCATCCCCCATCCTGACCTGGGTCAGGGGTCAGACGTGGGCTCCCGGGCACGCACTAAGGATGCCTAGAGCTTCCAATGCCCCTGCCCCTGTCCCACCACAGCAGCTCATTTCACACAGTGGGGGTTCTGGCAAGATCGAAAAAAGATAAAACAGAAGATTGGACTTTTTTTTTAATAAGAAAGGAAAAGACACTGGCTATCCCCCATTTATCTCCAGTGATGAAACGAGAGATGTCATGATACAGCTGCAATGCAAGCAGCACATCCTTCCAAGTCCTGGTGGTTTAGTCACTCAGTAGTGTCCAACTCTTTGTCACCCCATGGACTGTATCCCGCCCGACTCCTCTGTCCATGGGGATTCTCCAGGCGCGAATACTGGAGTTAGTAGCCATGCCTTCTTCCAGGGGATCTTCCCGACCCAGGGACTGAACCCATGTCTCATGTCACCTGAATTAGCAGGCGGGTTCCTTACCACTAGTGTCACCTGGAAAGCTCTTCCAGGTGAAAATCTTAGGAATTTCCCCAACTGCCACCATTTCCTAGGACAGACTGTAAGAGATTATCAATCATTAAAAAAAAAAAAAAAAACAAAAACAAAAACAAAAAAACAACAACAAAAAAAACGCAAGGTGATTCTTCCTACCTGGCACTTTAGGAAGAAGGCTGGATATTAGTTACTTCATGCTGCTTTGGTTTGGGATGTAGTCTTACACCCTGTAATGAACAGATGATTTACCTTAGTCAACCACCCCAGTAACACAGCAGCTTCTGAGCACTTTCTACCCATCTCACCACACACAAGAAACACTCCCCAAGGAACAACTGGCAGAGACCACGGGCACATGCAACTGTCCAGGGAGGCCCTGGCACTGGCCACCCTCTCTATTCACCAGACCCAACAGTTCTTAAAATGTCTTCACCCCTCTCCTCGCACTTGTGATAGATTTAATCCTCCACCTTGAACTTTGCAAAACACGTTTTACTTCAAATATTTTATATCTCAATGGAATCTGGAAAACACAATGATTGCAATTACACCCCTCCAGAAAGACGGAGGTTCCCCTATGAGGGTGCAGGACGGTTGGGTCACAGGACACTGGAGGGGAAGGCAGGCCTCTGACGGCCACTCTGTGTCCCGGGCACAGCACCCATGCTCCTAAAACCAGCTGGAGGCCCTGACCTGTGGAGACGTGGAGCCCGCTAGGGAGCCGATATCCCCAGAGGCCCCCACAGCCAGCCTCGTACTGCAGCTACTGCCCATTCACACCTTCCTTGCCTCTAATGCAGACCTTCTTCCACAAGCACACTCATTTATGTTCTACTATGGGGAGCAACCACCTCTTCATCTGAGATGAGGATGGAGATGACCCTCCCCCCACCAAGTGAAAGGCAGCCCTACCAGAGCTGCCTACAAACCAACCCCTGGCATTCCAGTGCAGAACAGCCCACCCTGAAGGCATCCCATCAGAGACTCCAGCCAGTGGCCTGGAAATCCACTGCCACAGTGAAGCACTGCGGTCAGGGCTGACACTCTGGCGCCCCAGTTCCCACCTCCCAAACCCCATGGAAACACACGGTCTCCCTGTATTCTGCTCTGCAGTTCTGTAAGCAGTCACGTAGCTCTCTGAAGAAGTCATGGGGCTAACGTGTGTCACGTGAATGAGTAACTCCCAATATCATCAACGGAGAGGATAAAGACACAGGGTGCACTGAACAGCTTATGACAGGTGAGAAGATTCAGCCCTCATTGGTCATGATGGCCAATTACTAAAAGAATTAGTTACATATACAAACATATCCCTACTTCTTTGTAACACAGTAACAGCCACAGTAAGGTGTCTAACTTGACATACCATCAGCAACTCTGCTGACACTTTCAACGGAACTCTCCAAGCATCTGAAGAGAGAAACAGGTTACTTTTCAGAAACACTATGTACATAAAGGAGCCCTTATCAATATAAAAGACCTTTCAGGACACACACACACTATTACAAAACAGGTTAACAATAAGGACCTGCCATATAGCACAGGGTACTCTACTCCGTACTCTGTAATAGCTACGTGGGAAAAGAATCTTTAAAAAAAGTAGATATATGTACAAGTATGATTGATTCAGTTTGCTGCACACCTGAAACTAGCACATTATAAACCAACCATATCCTAATAAAAAAATTAAAATGGAAGTGTATTAATAATAACAGAAATGAGAAGGCTCTCCAGGTGTGGGTCATCTTGGACACGCAGTGGCTCGGGTGATTGCCTCCAACAAGGGGATGGTAAGGACTATTCCTGAGTTTACAGGGAAGCCTGGCAGGGGCCGAGACAAAGCTGAGCAAACCAGTAGCCTGTGGCCCAGTGCAGGCACCGCCAACCCGCATGTGCTGAACCCCAGACAGTTCCGGGAGTCCCGTGGTCTGGCATCCTAGAAACTGACTGTGAGGAGCACAGCACGTGGGGGCAGCAGCCCAGCTTGGCCCTCAAGGACATGTGTCCACTGAGGAAGGGCCTGGCGTCTGCACCACGGCTTCAGAGTGGACGTCATAGCCAGGGCTGTCCCAGGGAAGCAGGCTGGCTGTGGCTCAAAGCCAGAAAGGGATTTCTTGCGACTGAGATCTTTAGGACCAGAACTGGACGGGCTCCTTCATGGGAGCACATGTTAAAGCAGCGTTCGAGCGACCACTTCCTGGAGTGACGCTCAGGTGGGTAAACGGGGTTAAGCGCCATCTGGTGTACAGTCAGGGCAGTGGGCCTTCCTCGGGATCTGTGCAGCACAAAGTGGGGGGCGGGGGGTGCCGCTTCTCACAGAGCAAGTTAAATGAGAGCTGGCTTGAAAGACAAGATCAAAAGGCTTTCTAGTGTTCCTTCCACTTCTGAGAGTCCATTAAAAAAAGCAAACAAAAATACAAGCCAACAAAACTTCTGGGTTCAGTGCAGTGGGAGACAGCGTGGAGAGGAAACAGGAGATGAGATAAAAACCAACATGACCCTGAAGCCAAGAGCAGTGTCTGGAGCCCCAGCCCACGGCCACAGGGAGTTGGCCTGCTTACCCAGAAGGTTCACCACCAGGTGTGGGGTTGGGGAGAAGGGGTCCTGCAGGCCGAAGGCGTGTAACAGCCATACTGTGTCTGCTGCAGGACCTCGAAGTTCCCCAGCAGGATGTCCCCCAGCCACTTGACATTCACGCACGGGATCTGCCACTCTTTGGCTTTCTCGTACTTTAAACCAGTTGGTCTTTTTTGATTGGGGTCGGGGGAAGAGAAAACACATTCATTAGAGTTATGGGTGTTCAAATTTGTACTTCTGTTAACACACACCAGCCCACACTTGCTCACACTGGACATGGCAGGGACAGTTCTGCAGAGCTGATTGGGCTGTAAGGAGGTGTCCATGTGATCATGAGGTCATTGCCCACACTGCTTTCACCTCATCACTGTCACCTAATTTGACTGCAGCCTCCTTAATCATATGATTTCATTCTTCTGCTAACATTATGACAAATATCACTGCCATTCTTTCAACAGACTCTGACATCCACCATGGAACTCTGACAGACTGAGAGACGC